GCACCTCAGTGGTTTCGCCTCTTCACACAGTTGTGTGGCCATCACCACAGTCAGCCTTAGAACGTTTCGTCTCCCCCAGAGGAACCCTGCACCCATCCACAAGTACCCTCCTTCCTGCCACTGGAAACCACAGGCCTTTCTGTCTGTAGAGATGTGCTCATTCTGGACGTTTCAATTAAGCGGAAGACATTCTGTTTCTGCCACATCTCTTTGGCAGAAGTCGATCGAGGTTCCCCAGGGAAGGCCCCACTAGCAGCACCCAGAGCCTCCAGTTGTCAAGGGTGGTTTTCAGACGATGACTTAACAAGGGAACGGCCTTTGTCTGTGGTCCCCCAAAGATGTGCTTGGAATATAAAGTATTAGAGACTTTTTTTGTTTGTTTTTTTGGCCGCATGGCTTGTGGGATCTTAGTTCCCCGACCAGGGATGGAACCCGGGGCCCTTGGCAGTGAAAGCGCAGAGTCGTAACCCCTGGACCACCAGGGAATTCCCAAGTACTAAGAGACTCTTGGTGCCGTTTAGATTGTATTTCAGAGCTTTGACGAAGACTCTCTCAGTGGCCTCCCTCTTGAACGTTGTTGCGAAATTCGAATGCTTTAACACGCCTGTCCACTCTTTGTGCGTTTTCCAGGTAGCAGAGGGTCAGGAAATCTGTGTGATTGAAGCCATGAAGATGCAGAACAGTATGACGGCCGGGAAGACTGGCAAGGTACGTCCCCAAGGGCCCGCCAGCCCAGGCGGCTGTGACTGCAAGCGGAGCCTCCACCTTGGAATCCTAGATGTCGGGCCCAGGAGAGTCTATGTGACGTCTGGGGTGCGGGAGGGGGTGGGTGAAGAACAATTGTTCTTCACCTTAATGTCTTTCAAATTAAGGGGTCTTTAATTTTTAATGTTTACATCTGTCTTAGAGGCAGTGAGTTATCTGAGACATAGGTGACCCAGCAGGAAATGGTTTTTAGAGATTGCAGAAATTAATGCAACTCTTCAAGATAATTTCTCCACAAAGAGAACAATTCAATTTTAGATCAAGAGGAGCTGAAAGGCCCACATACACATGCGGGACTTCACGATTCAGGGAGGGGGGAAAGAAAAAGAGATTTGTTAAAAGTAAAACTTCTTAAATGTACTTTCTATCGAAGAAAATAGAAAAGTCCTTTTAAGCAGTAACTTCATCATTCTTCCCGCGACTTGAAAGGCACCATTTGTAGCAGAATGATCCTTTTCTGAAGGGTGTTTTGCTTTGGAAGTACTGCACAGCGGAGCGAGGTGTGGGTCGTGTGTGGGGACAGCAGTGTAGACTGGCCATGTTCTGCGCTGTGGTCACTCCCGGGAAGGGCACTGGAGCCTTGGGGGTGGTGGGTGTCCTGGCAGAGAGGTACTGTCTGCTGCCCGTGGAGTTGGCATCAGACATGGCCTCCGTCCGCCTCCCGAAGAGCAAATGAAACCCATGTTCAGGGACCAGGCCCAAGGGGACGCCCAGTCCCGCCCCAGCCGGGAGGACGGAGGCCCGGTGTTGGGCCCAGCTAGAGCGGGCCTTGGACGACTGCTCCCAGTCTCCTCCCAGTTTGGGGTGAAGAGACTGGTGCGATCTGGGCTCCAGGGGAATTCTTCTTGCCATACCCGATTCCTTTCTAAGAAGTGAACAAGAGCGTGTTGGTTTCTGCTCCTGTAAAAATTGTTCTCCGCGTTCCTAGAGATTGGTTGACATGCACGCTGCATTGTTGTCAGATTTCCTTTCGTGATGAGAGCCTGGCCTCATTTGGGGGATCCAGAATATGTGTCAGATGCACGCCAAGGGCCACTGTGCCAGGCTGGGGATCTGATCCTAAAATGAGCTCGGCCATAGCTCCCTGAGGGAGCCAGGAGCCTGCCCGTGTGCATGGTTGATGTCTTCAGGGCCCAGGTCTCACGGGGACTCCCCGCCGCGCTCAGGGTGCTGAGGGGCTCTAGGTGAGCCTGCGCGTTGGCCCTGCCCCCCAGGGCGGAGGAGCGGCCCTGCCTGGGGCAGGCGGTTCTTGCTCTGAGAGGCCAGTTTTCCTCCCGTGGCCGGGTTAACAGTGGCAGCAGGCCCTCTACTCTGGAGTCACAGCATTGTGACAGACACAGCCTGTCAAAACACCAGGGACTCCAGACCTTAAAAAGCAGCCAGTTCAATTTAGTCGCTCAGTCGTGTCCGGCTGTCTGCGACCCCGTGGACTGCAACACACCAGGCCTTCCTGTCCATCACCAACTCCCGGAGCTTACTCAAACCCATGTTCATTGAGTCGGTGATGCCATCCAACCATCTCATCCTCTGTCGTCCCCTTCTCCTGCCCTCAGTCTTTCCCAGCATCAGGGTCTTTTCAAATGAGTCAGCTCTCTGCATCAGGTGGCCAAAGTATTGGAGTTTCAATTTCTGAATGTTGAGCTTTAAGCCAGCTTTTTCACTCTCCTCTTTCACTTTTATCAAGAGGCTCTTTAGTTCTTCACTTTCTGCCAGAAGGGTGGTGTCATCTGCGTATCTAAGTTTATTGAAAAAAAGCAGCCACTTCACTGCAAACAGCCCTGTGGAACGAGGCCTTCCAAGTGTCGCTGTGTTGGTTCTCTTCTTTCCGAGAGGCCCAGGCTGGAACTCGGGATGCAGGCCACTCTCGCCACTGCAGGCTAGGGCTCCCAACCCCACAGCTCTGGCCCTTTTGCAGCTTGCCCAGGCGGCCTGTGACTTCTAACCTCAGGCCTACTTCTAACCTATTTCATCCTCACGCCCAGGCTAGAACCGCCAAGTCAAGTGGGCTGTCTCTAGTTTTAACTGAACACAAATTTGGGAAAGCAAGAGCTGACAAATCAGGAGAAATTAGGGCACGGAGATGACGTTGTGGGAGCCACGGGGTTCGACCCGCATTTTGAGAACTTCATTTCTCTTCACAGGACGCTTCGGATCAGGCCGGGGCGCTTCTGTTGTTGATTAATACCTGTTCTGACTCAGGGATAATTGTGTGTGGGGTTTGGATTTGGTTTTGTTTTTTTTCCCACCATTAACCCTGAGGGAGCATTTCTCCAAACTGGAACCTGTGAGAGAAAGGAGGTGGGGCTGGAGACTCACCCAGCATCGTCCCCGCCGGCCTCAACCCTGGGGTGCCCGGTGCAGAGGACCGCAGCACCGTGGGAGCAGCGGCGTCTAGGAGCCGCGAGGGCCGCAGCCAGCCGAGGACGCCCTCAGCCAGGTCCCTCGACGGACGCCCGCCACCCGCCTTTTGCCTCTGCTCCAGCGCCTGCCTGCCTGCGCCTTCACTTCCAGAGCCTGACAAGACTGCTTCCTCCTGGTCTGCTTAGTAATTTTACTCTCCCCCTTCTTTCTTTTTCTTTTTTAAATTCAAGGTGAAATCGGTACATTGTAAAGCTGGAGACACAGTTGGAGAAGGAGACCTGCTCGTGGAACTGGAATGAAGTATTTATAGCCTTTCAGTCATCACCCAGTTTAATTAGCCATTTGTATTATTATTCTTTCACACTCAATTTATTCAGGCGTTCGGCAGGAACACCCCTGTGCAGCAGATTTTACATGGTCATATTTACTCCACATATAGTCAAAACCAACGTTCTGCCAAAAAAAATCACCAATGGAAATTTTTTATTGATATAAATACTTGTACATATGATTTGTACTTCTGCTGTGAGATTTCCTAGTGTCCAAATGAAATCAATAAAACTGAGCATTTGTCTAAATATTAGTTTGCCCTTTTTTTGCATGAAGACAATGTACATAAGAGGCTGTGCCAGTAGGCTTTAAAATACCAGCATTTCATCGGGATGCTTTTAAAAAACGTATATAAATCCCAGTTCTTTGCCTTCGGTTTCATTAAATGAGCATTTGCCACCTTGTAATCTCATTACCTGCTTCATCCTGCTTGAGGCCCTGAGGCCCGCTTGTGGTTGGCTAGTCATGATCTCCAGAAGCTGGAACAGCACTGATGGTGGTCTTGACAGTGATGTGGGTCCCCTGAGCCCGCAGGGGTGACCCCCATCCCTCCCAGGGCACCAGTCAGGGTTCCCAGGCCCCAGTGGTGGTGGGGGCGCTGCAGAGCCCAGCAGCAGATTCCCATCCTCGCCTTTTTGTGTTTCTGGGAAGCAAGTTTCCAATTATGAAAAGAAGGGCTAAGTATAACAGTGGTGCTTCTGGAGCAGATGCAGTTAGTCATCTCAGTCTGCCGCTAAGTCGACGCGGGGAGCGCGTGCTCCCGACGGAGAACGAGGCTACCCGGGACCAGCCACGTCGTCGTCCGGGTCTGGAATCCTCAGGATGCACTTCCTCCTCGGTGGTGAGTGAGCAGAGGCAGCGCCGTGCGTGGCCTTGAGGCCCCCCTGACAGAGGAGCAGATGGAGGTGGGTAGTAATTGGTACTTCGTGCATGCTAAAATTATTTTAAGTGCTGTTTGTATTTGGAAGCCAAGCTTTTTGTTAGGCCTGAAGAACAAATTACTACTGAGTTGGTTCTCTGAAAAGCTCGTCCCCCGGGGCAGCTTCCTTGTGGGGCAGGGCTCCCGTGAGCCTGTCTGAAATAGGGGTGTTCAGCTACTCTGCCACCGCACAGACTCAGAAAGAGGGCTGACAGTAACACCAATACTTGTATATTCAATTTCTCAATGTGATATATCTTTAATCATCTCTACATAAGCTTGATCTCAAAAATTATGAAGAATGATGTCATATATATTCAAAAGAACTCTAAAATACAGCATGCGTTTCTTGAGGTTATTTTATTACATTGATATGTCTAAAATCAGCTTTAAAAGTTTTTTTCTCAGTGGTACAGGTCAGAATCAATACAATGAGGCTGTTAAAATCTAGCTGTCACACACAGACTTGATATTCATTTTAAATGTTATCTTCAGATTAAAGCAAAGCAAAAAAAAAAAAAAAATACCCCAGCATAATCAGAAAAGCATGATAACGTGAGTTTTCAAATGTCATTTGGGGAATTAAAGTCTTGAGTTTTTCTCATCCAGTACATTGANATAATCAGAAAAGCATGATAACGTGAGTTTTCAAATGTCATTTGGGGAATTAAAGTCTTGAGTTTTTCTCATCCAGTACATTGAAGCCCAAGATGCTCTTTAAGCAGCAAGCAAGAAAGCAGCATAGAGAGACAGATTTCAGGAAACAGTTTTGTTATCAGTACCTCCAAATTATTTGGGAAATCGGCTGCCACTGAAAAAGAGGTGTTCTCCCCCGCCCACCCCTGACAGATCGAGTATTTGTTTCAAGTACCGGTTTCCAGGGGTGTTTTCGCGCCCTCGTTCAGCGAGCGCGGCCTCTCGGGGCTGGGCCCCGGCCTCCCTCGCCCGCGGGGCTCATCTGTTTTCCCGCGGGTTGTAGCGCAGCCCGTGCTTCCCCTGCGAGTCGTAGTCGTCGAGGTACGGTAGGTGGACCCACTCAGGCGGGTAGGTGGCCGTGGTGTAGACGAAGCACTCCAGGGGCGCGCGCGCGCCCTCCAGGGCCACGCGCAGGCGGGTGCGCTGGTACATGTCGGGGCAGTCCTCGAACTCGTCCAGGAAGCGCAGCATCCGCCCGTCCACTTCGTAGACCTCGCCGGCCACGTGGTGCCCGCGGCCCGGCAGATTCAGCAGCCGCGGGATGTTGTGCTCGCCCGCGATCACCAGCGGGTAGGGCTCCAGCGTGCGGGCCCGGCCCCGGAAGGCCGCGCGCCCGTGGGCGCCGTCCAGCAGGACCCGGTGGTTGGGCTGGCCCGTCTTCAGCGTCCCGTACACGAACACGGGGGCCAGGCAGCCGGAGCTGCGGGCAGAGAGGATGGCGGACAGGTCACGGGGGGCGCGGCCGGCTCGCTCCCCAGCGGCCTCCCTTCACGGACAGGGTCCCAGGGGAGGGGCCGGCTCTGAGACCAGACTTTCGAGGAGACAGTCTGTTAGAGGCTTGGGCCCTGCAGGGCTGCAGTTTCATGGAGAAGTTAGTTTTCAATAAAAGGACTTGAAACAAATATTACAGAAAAACAAGTAATAATAAGTAGGCAAATATATACACACGTATAGACACAGATATGTATGTATGTGCTGTGCTTCTTAGCACGTGCATACCACATACATCTGCAGAGGTGTATACATGGCACATACGTGTATGTGTGTGTGCACCTGTATAATAATCACCTGTCGTCGGTGCCACAGGGAGCTCCGGTTTCAGCGCTCCATTTACACTCTGGCCCTGGCATGACCTTAACCGCACCGCTGTGTTCCTTCCTTCTTCCGGGCCCCCGAGGTTAAGGATGCCGGCCTGGGACTCAGCACAGCGGCCTCGGCTGCAACGAGAAGGTAGTGTTTACCCCTTCCTGGGTCTGGGCCCAGACTCCATTACATAATAGACCGAAAGTGATCGGTGTAAGGGACTCATGCAGAAACAGAAAGGGAAGTTCGGAGGCCGGGCCCCTTCTCCAAGCCTGGCATCCTGCTGCCCCGCTCGCCCCCAATCCGCCAACACTGAGGGACTGGGCCCGGCTGTGCCAGGCAGGCCCTGCCACCAGCCACGTGGCCGGGTGGCCTTCAGGGAAGTCACACGCGCAGGACGGCGCTTTCTTCCCAGCAAACCAGAGTCGGTCTGGGGGACCGAGCCTCGCCCCGTCTCTTCAGGGTGTCTGCGGCGGATGGGCAGAGCCCCGGCGAACACGGCTGCCCACTCATGCCTTACCGTCCTCCCCGCGGCCTCAGCCTCAGCCGCCCGCCTTGCGCAGGGCTGAGATCTGACAGAGCTGAGCTCCAAATGGCGCGGGGAGGCCAGGCCGGCGTCGGGGGCGGCTGCACGGGTTTGAAAGTCAGGGTGTGAATGAGAACCTGGACTCAGGGTACAGGGAGAGGGGGCATAGGCCCCCTGCTGCCAAGGGGACGGGGAGGACCAGCCAGCCCCGCCTTCCAGCACATTCTTCGGTAGCAACTCCAGGTGGAACCCAGACCCACGCTCCCACCCTCGCCGGACCATCCCGCAGAACCCTGGTGGCCCGCGGCCCGGCCCCCCCAGCCTGACCCCAGGCCCGCCCGGGTCCTCACCTCCCTTACCAGGTGACCCCTCCCTGAGCGCCCCCCGCCCCGCCCCGCCGGCCTCCCCCGCCGCGGCTTGCTCTCTCCTGGCGCCTCTTCTCTAAACCACGGCCCTCCTGGTGACCACAGAGCGAGAAAAGCCGAAAGGGCGCCGGAAACCACCCAGTCGTCCCGGCCCGAGTCCCAGGTCGGTGAGGACTCGGGCTGCACTGCTGGGCCTGGCCGGCGAGGGGCTGCTCCACTGAGCCCTCGAGTTCCCGTGTCCCCTCCCTTTGATTAGATTTAAAGTCGCTCTGTGTCCGACTCTGCGACCCCACGGACTATATAGTCTATGGAATTTTCCAGGCCAGACCCATGGACTGTAACAGGCCTGAATACTGGAGTGGGTAGCCTTTCCTTTCTCCAAGATCTTCCCTGGGATCTTCCCAACCCAGGGATTGAACCCAGGTCTCCCGCATTGCAGGCGGATTCTTTACCAGCTGAGCCACAAGGGAAGCCCAATGTGGCCATAAGGTAAAGTCAAATTACAAGAATAAAATCTCTACATTCCCACTCCCTTGCAGAGACCCGGTTAAGCCTTTCGACTGTTGCATTTGCTATTTATTAATATCTCCATATTGTTGGTTGTACCGCAGCTTCCTGATGTTTTAAACCGTCTGCCTTCCTACCCCAAAGCAGGTGAGCAGAGTGTTAGTTTAAAGGACAGACTTCGGAACCAAGTTGCCTGAGTTGAAATCCTGGCTCTGCCATTTACCAGCTGTGTGACCTTAAGCAAACCACGTCACCTCTCTGGACCTCGGTTTCCTGGACTATCAGGAAGTCGTCTAAGCCTCCTGTCTCGGGGGACCGCGGTGAAGGCACAGCAATTAACATCGCATGCTCAGTAAGTCTGCATCAAATGCGCCTGTCACAGCCCCACCGGGCTCACATCACAGATTGTGGTCAAGTCCATATTCAGTTCAGCATCACAACTATGTAAACACTGCTCTCAGATAAAGCACACAGTGTACTATGATTAATTTCCTTTCTTGGACAACTTTTTGTTTTTCTTGGAATTAAAAATTGTTTCAGGTTTTTTTTCCCTCCTCTCTTTTTTGCTTTACTCAAGTTTCTCTGACAGTCCGTCCTTCGGCCTCATGATTTCTGAGAGCACCGTAAGAATCCTTTTCGCCCTGACCACCCGTTGCCTCTGTTGTTCCCTGGGGCTGTAGCTCCCAGTGTCCCTCCTGCCCTGGCCTGGGTCTACGGTGCCCCCGGAACCCCAGGCTTCTCCCAGAGCCCCGTCCCTGGGTGCCACGGCCCCCTCTTGGTCAACTCCCTCATTGAATTGAAGCTTCTTCTTTACCAGCCTCAGTAAATAGTGTACGTAGGGTGAGGACAGAGGATGAGACGGCTGGATGGCATCACTGACTCAATGGATACGAGTTTGAGTGAACTCTGGGAGCTGGTGATGGACAGGGAGGCCTGACGTGCTGCAGTCCACGGGGTCGCAAAGAGTCGGACACGACTGAGCGACTGAACTGAACTGAGGATGAGAATTCTAGAACTGATTTCCTTCAGAACTCTAAAGGCATCTCTTCTTTGTCTACTGGTGTCCCAAACCCATGCTGAGCCGCCCAGGCAGGTGGGACCCACCGTCCTTTGAACAGAAGCAGGCTCTTCTCTCGGGAGGCTCCTAGGGTGGTCTTCTGTCCTGTGGGTTGTGAGGTCCCACGGTGCGGACCCTCCATGCGGGTTTTTCCATTCATTGTGCCACAGATCTCCGTCTGAAGACTCATCATCGTGGACACCGGGAAGCTTCATCCCTCTCCTTTCTTCCTGCATCTCCAGAACTCAGATGGTGCATATCCTGGGTTAATCTCCCAATTGTCTCTTTTGTAGTCTAGTTTACCTTCCAGTACTTCTATTATTTTTAAAACTATTTTGCTGTGATATTTATCTCCAGGATCTTTTTCTTGTTCCCTCCTGTCATAATCATCCTGTTTCTTTCTCAGCATAATACCATCTCTTCTCCTTGGGATGATATTAATTACTGTGAATTTCTTCAAGTTTTTATCTTTCCCTGTATTGCTGCTCCTTCTCCGAAATTTCTCTTTTGTTTCTTTGAGACCGTTCCTTCAAACGTCTCAGTAATCCTTGGCTGGCCTTTCACGTTGAAAAGTGAGATGCTCTATAGGAAGCTGTGAGGGGAGCCTGGTGGGGGCCTGGCTAACCACTGAATCCCCGAGTTGGTGGCCTTTCCCGCCCTCCTGGTCTTCAGGGCGCCCTCATCCCACCTTCAGCTGGGCCTGGTCCACCCGGTACCAAGCCTCTCTGGACAGTAACCCACCTTTACCCCTGCTGGGGAGAGGGCAGAGGGGGGTCTCTGCTCCCTGCACAGACTGCGCCCCACCCCTTGTCCTCACCCTCTCGTGTCCAGGGCCCTGGTCGGCTGGCTCCCCGCCGGGACTTAGGTTTCCGGGCCCCTGGGTGCCGTCAGCCACCACTTGTCTCTCTGCTGTCTTCCAGAATTGCGTCTGCTCTCTCATCTTCTGTCTTTAGGGGTCATGGCGGTGGCACTTGGGGACAAAGCAGGGAGAAAGGGGCCTGTTTCCTCTGCTGCACCACCTGGCGCTCCACACAGGCCCCGGGCTGCACCCCCAGGCCTTCGCGGAGGCTCAAGGCCGCCAGGAAGGAAGCGGGGCTGCTTGTGGGAGGCTGGCGAGAAGAGTTGATCAGGGTACCGGGGGCGTGAGGGTGTCACCAAGGCCGCCAGGAGAAAGCCAGCGATGCAGCAGCCACGGGCACAGAGGCTGCTGGTGGGGACCTGGCTTCTGCCAGGTCTGAGCAGGGGACCGGAGGCAGCGGCTGCAGGAGAGGGCGAGGCCGCGCGGCGCTCAGCGGGCAGCAGGCTGCGCGCCCCGAGGCCCCAGGCTGAGCCCAGGGGCACAGGAGACACCGCCTGCCCGGTGAGAAGGCCCAGGGACGCCAGACTGACTGGTTAACAGGCAGCTTCAAACGGAGGAGCCAGGACGGAGCGGGGCGGGGCGGCAGGACGGGTCGTGCGTGGGGCGGGGGCGTGGCTCCGTCTGGAGCCACCGGAAGCCGCCTGGGCTGCGGAGGGACAGCGGGGAGGCGCCAGGACAGAGCAGGTTCTCAGCACAGGCTGCTTCAGCCACGAAGCGAGAAGAGGAATATTTCACCCAGGAGGAGGGGGAGGGCAAGAAGGTCTTGTCAGAGACGGCGGAGGACGGCGTGCCCAGGAGGGCTGGCCGAATCCCAGCCGCGTTCAGGGTGGTGCTGGGTCTCTGCGGGTCCTGCGCTAAAAGCCTGGATGTCAGCGTGCGCAGCCGCATCGGCCCCTAAGAGGGGTGGTGTCCGCCCTGCTGAACACGCGAGGGAACGCAGACAGTGGCTCAGGTGGGGGGCTCCGCGCCCAGCGCTCGACCGGGTCAGCACCGGGAGCTGGGCCCAGGTGCGCTGGACGCTGAACGCCTGGGCGGCCCGTCAGGTCCAGCCTCGGAAGGCCTCGGGCTCTGCAGGGGCCACAAGGGGCCTGCCTCCCTCGACTCTTCTCCCCCCGCCCCCGCCCCCCACCGTAGAGGAAAAAGAGAAGGAACTGATTTTTAGATTTAAACAGACTGTGCAGCACACAAAATGTGAACTTCACCATCTTAGCCATCTCTCGGCGCAACGTGCAGTCACACCGCTGTGTGCCCACCGCATGCGTCTCCACAACTTCCGGTCTTGCAGAAGTAACTCCCAGTTCTCCCTCCCGGCAATCCCAGGCTACTTTTGGTTTCCATGAGTCTTGACTACAGGAGGTACCGCATTTAAGTGAAAGCGCACAGTATTTATCTTTCTGTGGCTGGTTTATTTCACTTGGCATAGTGTCCTCAAGGTTCATCCATGCTGTAGTGTGTGTTAGAATTTCCTTCCTAAATTAAGGCTGAATGATAGTCATATGCGTATGCCACATTTTGTTCGTCCATCTGTCGATGGATGTTTGGGTTCCTTCTACCTCCTCGCTATTGCAAATAATACTCCCATAAACATGGGTACACAGATCTCTACAAAATCCTGTTTTCAATTTGTTTGGATATATACCTGGAAACGTGCTGCTAGATCATACCGTAATTCTGTGCTTAATTTTATAGAGGGACCTCTGTATTGTCTTGCATAGCAGTTGCACCATTTACTGCTCCCACCTACAGTGCCCAGGGGTTCCTGTCTCTGCAGGCTCACCAGTGCTTGCCATTTCCTTCCTCCTCCCTCCCTTTCTCTTTCT